TGGGGGCATGGATGCAGCGGGGTGCCCGGGGCACTGTGGCATGGCCAGCACACGCTCCTGGGATGTTCCTGGGATGTTCCTGGGATGTTTGGAATGCTCCTGGGATGTTTGGGATGTTTGGAATGCTCCTGGAATATTCCCGGGATGTTCCCGAGATGCTCCTGGGATGTTTGGGATGTTGGGATGCACCTGGGATGCTCCCGGGATGTTCCTGAGATGCTCCTGCGATGCTCCTGGAATGCTTCTGGGATATTTGGGATGCTCCTGAGATGTTCGGGATGTTCCTGGAATATTCCTGAGATGTTTGGGATGTTCTTGGAATATTCCTGGGATGATCAGGATGTTCCTGAGATGCTCCTGGGATGTTTGGAATGTTCCTGAGATGCTCTTGGGATGTTTGGGATGCTCCTGGGATGTTCCCGGGATGCTCCTGGGATGCTCCTGCGATGTTTGGGGTGTTCCTGAGATGCTCTTGGGATGTTTGGGATGCTCCGGGGATGTTTGGGATGCTCCGGGGATGTTCCCGGGATGTTTCCCGGGATGTTCTTGCAATGTTCCTGGAATGTTCCTGGCTTCCCGTGGGATGACACCCCCCAGCTCTGGGCTCCTGGCTGCTCCCCAGCTGCTGTGGGGATGCTCCGGGCTGGCCCCAGGTCCTGCCAGGTCGCCCAGAGCTGAGCCGGGGCCACCACCAGCTATGCAAGGTCCCCCGTCCCCACCCCTCTGCCAGCGCAGGGTTGCGGGGGCACCGCCCAGGGCGGTCCCTCGGTGTCCCCRTCGTGGGGAGCAGGGGACTGTCCCCCCTGAGCGGGCTGCACCTTTCCAGAAGCACAGCAGAGCCTTCTGCCTGCCCGTGCATGCTGCCAGGGCAATATATATATAACAGATATATATATATATAAATATTTATGCAATAATGTCTGAATATGCAACACCCCTGGGAAGAGCGACCCGAGGGGACATAGGCAATAAGAAACCCCCTGCCRGCTCGCAGGGCTGGGCTGTGCTGACCAGGAGGGTCCTGGGGGTCCTCAGGGCTTGGGGACAGCGGGAAAAGCCACCCCGAGGGTGGCCCTGGAAGCTGTGGAGGAGCAGGGATGGCTCCTGTCCCCAAGGAGCGTCCCTCCCGCTGTGTCCCACCCCCTGCTCCTGCTCAGAGCGTCCCCTCCGTGCTGGGCCCTGCGACACTCGGTTTGTCCCCTGTCCCCGTGTCCCTGTCCCCTCTGCGCTCCGGGCAGCACGGGCCGGGGCTGCCTGCTGGGGACAGGGCGG